GGTGACAATATTAATGTTGTTAATTAACTTGATACAGGAAAAGAGTGTTTTTGTTGAAGGTGACAATATTAATGTTGTTGATCTTGATGCGATGACATCGACAACTATTTTACCGAAACGCCCTATTGAGATTGTTAGCACCATTGAATCGTTTGAATGGTCTTCCTCAAAAGGTGGTGTTGCTCCTCATACCCTTAAGATTCCAAAAACAGAAAAACTCAAATAAATTTAGCAGTTATGATTATTTGATATTTATCATTGACGATTTTTCTTTGAGTTTTATTATTTTCTTAAGGATTTCTTTGACAAGTAAGTTGTTTTCATTTTGAATATTATGTTTGTTTTCATTTAATTATAACACGATAGTAGTCGTGTTTATTTGAGACAAGTTCATAATTATGTTGAATTCTTTTTATGAATTTTAACTTTTACATCTTTTGATATATTTTCGCCTCAACTTATGTTACAAAGTATGTTGACCAAGTCTATTATTGTCAATTTGTTTTAAGTTTATATAACAAACTATGTTGACCAAGTCTATTATTGTCAATTTGTTTTAAGTTTAAAGGTAATCTCCTTTATATTTGGCTTAAGCTACTGAGTTTGTTATTCCACAAACAAGATTTTGTAACAATAATTTTTTTAATTGTTCGTAACAAACTATGTTGACATACAATTCTATAAAAAAAACAAAATAGCATACCTGCAATGACAAACAAATAATTGAATAAAGTACATGGCTTTTCCAAATGAAATATGTCTTTAATAAGAAAATGAAAATACAATGTCTTAATTTGTACACTTTTCAAAGTAAAATGCTTACATAATAAACAATATATAGTAGGGGTTGTTTGATATTAAATGTAAAGTCATGGAGCCGATTTGGTAAATAATATAGTCTTGGGCTGTTATAAAAATTTTCATTTTTTCCAAACTAACCATCAACATTATCTTAATTTTAAATTTTAAAAAATAATCTTAAAATGCTCTACATTATCTATCCTAACTACATTTTGAAATTCAACAATTAAGGGATAAGATAAAAATGACTTTTATCTTATCTCTCCAAAACCAATTTGGATTCAATACATATATATGACATATTCTGTCAAAACCCATTTTTATTTTTCCTTCCACACTCCTGCAAAAAGTGAATTTTTATTGTGTTGTATCTATGTTTTTATATCTTCGTTTATATTGATATTCACAATAAAAAATCAATACTTATTTCTTTCTACAACCTTCTACATCAGTAAACAAGTGTTAGCTTGGTTAATCAAATGCAAAAGGATACGCATTTCATTGTTTATAATTATTTTTCTATGATTTATAGCTTTTAATTAGGTTTATTTTATTTACATTCAAAAGTGTAATTGTGTTCATTTAAATAGATTCCTGTCAACAAAACGCATATAAAAAACTAACAGAAAAAAAATATATAAAAGTTCATTATAAACCAAAAATACAAAAATAATGCAAGTCCACATACTTCAACAAAGTCCATAATTCATACTTGAAAAAAAATTGTAAATTATCTATATTTGTTAACCAACTTTAATTCGTTATTTTCTTCACCAATATCTTTTAATTTCATTTTTTGTATAATCATTTTTATCGTATGTTATTATATCTTTTTATGCATTTACTATTCTCTCAAATTTTATGTAATTTATATTACATTTTTACAGTATACAACATATATGAATACCAATAATGGAAGAACCAAATCAAAAACATCGCCATGCTGGCCACTGTCGAATATCACAAACTGTAAACTTTTAATTTAATATTATCATTAGATGTTCGATGCATATAATTTATTGATTTTCTTTTTATGTAATATATATTCCTGTTAAATTTCATATTTAATGTCTAATATATTTTTATTTCATCCACATTTATCATACCTATTATTTTATTTTTTTGAAGAAAATAATTTCTACATCCCCACTAATTGTTGAGTTATTCGAAAATGTTCGGAATTATATTCAAACTCATCACCCCATAACGGCCTACAACCGAATTTGCAACCTACAACAATTTCATAAAGGTCGTCACCTTCACACATAACCAAGCAAGGTAAATTATTAATAATTACTTCTATATTATTCTCTCACTACCAGTCAAAATCATATAAAGACTATTAAATTTTCCAAATTTAATAACTATTATGATACTAATAAATAGTTATAAACGGTTCGTATACGTCGCCGACTTCAAATGTCCAAACAAACAAAAACCAACAACGTTCAAGGATGTAAGTACACATCACAACTCTGGTAATAGTTATCCTATTGTTATATTACTACTTATTATATTTTTTGTATTTAATTAATTATAAATTTAATTTCAATATATGTACTTTAATATTACATATGCATATTCATATTTTCATTGTAATTTACAATTCAAATTTCTCCAGAAAATCGTACCTTCATAACGTATGTTCCTCAAGTTACTCGGGAAGTTACTCCATCACCTTCAACATCATCCTCTGATAACCGTATACGGCAAAATATGCAACATTCATTAATTACCTCAAGGTAGCTAGTGTCACATATCACCGATCATGGTAAGGTTTTTATAATTATTTTTTTATTATGTTTACCTAAACAATTTAGATAATATAAAAACTTTAATACATTTAATATTTACTAACATAAAAAACTACCAATGAACAATTGTAAACGGTTTAAGTACGTTTTGAAATCACCAAACAATTTAAAATGCAACAACTTTCAACGCAGGCAAGGCTTATCTGAACTATGGTCATATATTTCAAATTATGTCATTATTAATTAATACATAGTATTTTTCATTTTTTTCATATAATTACATTCGCTATATTTCATTTTATTCCTTTTTTCACGTTTAAAAGTTATTTCACAATTATTACCAACACAATCATCAGATCTTATCTAATCATTATTTTTTTCAAAAAAATATGCTATATTTCAAGAAAATAATACAACAAAAACGGCAAGAGGGACACGAAAACAGTTCAATACAAATGATATTCATTTTTTTGATTTGAATGAAGATTTTGTGGAGAACTCAAGTAATACTACTATTCGTTCTTAACCTTCCTGTGGTTATACTGATAAAGTTGATTGCCAAGGTATGTTATCATCTATTTTGTTAATACGTCCACTTATACATTTTTGCACTTAATTTTATAAATATTCATCGTCTTATTAACAATTTAAATTGTGTTTATTTTGCAGCACCAAGAAAAAAGAAACAAACATCTGTGTCTTATAATTTAGTAGGTCAAAATGATGTAATGATTGACACCCAGACTAAATGTGTTGACACCCTTTTCATATTACGCTTATAGTATATATTATTTGATTAGTATTTTTTTTTTCTTTATAGATTATTTGGATTTCGATGATGCAGTATACATTTGCTCTGTATGTAAAGCTAGAGTTTGGAAGCGAGAAGCAATAAGAATAAATAAAGATTTAAGGAAAACCTCTTATTCCATATGTTTTTACAATGGAAAACTAGAATTACCAAACTTGATTCACCCACCTCAGTTATTGCTTGATTTATATAGCGGAGTTACTGAAAAAATCAGAAGTTTATAAAAAAAATATTCGTAGATACAATATGATGTTTGCATTTACATCTATGGCTGGTAAGACTGATCATGTCATTAACTACCAGAGGAAGGCGAATTACCGAAATTTTGCCAATTGTAAATATACGATACAGATCACGAGTTGACACTAGATTCAAGGCATACGAGTATGTAAATACAAGTTATCATATAATAACATTAAATACACACACACACACACACACATATATATATATATATATATATATATATATATATATATGTTAAATTTTTTGTTATGTCTCATAATATTTATATCCATGATTTTGTTTTCCTATTAATGTAGTTCAAAAACGAAAAAGTCAACATCTCATAATTCAATGGGAAATCCTTTTTCACTGGAGTTCTTAACTGTTCATGAGCTAATGAGTTTATTGGATTTTATAAATCCATTAGTTAAGCAATTTAGAATGGCACATGATCGATTTAGATCGAATCCAATAGAGCGCATTCGGCTTAAATTAATTGGGACAAGAGAAAATGATGGTAGACAGTATAATCTTTCAACCACGAGTGAGGTTGTTGCACTTATTGTAGGTGACATTGACGATTCCGATTCATGATATATTGTTTTTGAAACTCAAAGCCGTCAACTTCAACGCATTCATGAGTTGCATCTGCAACATGTTTCACTTCTATATCCTTTATTGTTCCCTTATGTCGAAGATGGGTTTTGATTAGATATATCACATCGTGGTGTTGAAGAACCAAAAACTACAAAGGACGAATAACACTTACAATGTGAGAGTTTTTTGTTTATCGTATACAATAGAGAACTAATGAAATATCTTTGATATTACGTTCCAGAAAACTCTTCCAATAGTTTTTGGTTGATTCGTATACATTGGTTGAAAATGATCGGCTAAATTATATTCGGTTTAACCAACCAACATTAAGTGTCACTCCTTATGGAGACTTGGCCGAGGCTGCTCAAGAAGGAACTAAAGATGCTCCTGCGATAGGAAATCGTATTATTATTTTGTCTTCTTTTAAGGGTGGCAGCCGTTACATGCAACAAATTACTTAGACGCAATGACTTTGGTTAAGTGGTTTGGTTATCCTAATCTTTTTTTAACCGTTACATGTAATCCTAAATGGCCAAAGGTAATTAGATTCATTGAATTTGAAAATCTTAAACTCGAAGATAGGCCTGATATTTTGACAAGAATATTCAAAATAAAACTTGATTCACTAATAACTAGACTCAAGGAAGAAAAAGTTTTGGGTGAAGTCGATGGAAGTATAAATCTAAAATCTCATTATTCATTTTATTTTTATTTTGATTTTATAATATCATGCGTTAACCAGGGTACATATTCGCATCATACAGTCATATATACGATCGAGTTTCAAAAAGGGGTCTTCCACATTATCACATATGCCTATTATTAGAAAAAAAAAGTCTAAACTTCCGAATCGCGAAAACATAGATCACGTTATATGTGCTAAATTGCCAGACAAGGAACTTGAACGAGATCTGCATCAAATTGTTTCTAACAACATGATACATGGACCTTACGACAATGATTTTCCATTTATGCCATGTATGAAAAATGGCAAATGTTCTAAAGGATTTCCAAAAGACTTTACAAAAGACACATATATTGATGAAGATAGTTATCCAGTTTACCGAAGATGTGACAACGAAAACAATGTCGTGAAAAACGGAGTTTCTTTAGACAATAGGTATAAAAATTAAATTTTTATTTATATAAACATTTATTTCTTTATAAATGTTATCTTTTATAGGAAAGATATGTTAAACGATCTTAATTTTTTTATGACATTTTGTTTCTTTTTTCAGATATGTCGCTCCATATAATAAGACACTTTTGAAGCAGTACGAAGCCCATATGAATCTTGAGTGGTGTAATCAGCTTGGATCGATAAAGTACCTTTTTAAGTATATTAACAAATGTCTAGACATGATCACCGCGTCTTTTTACGACGCCAAAAAAAACAACATAAAGAAAATAACGATCGTGATGAAATTGTTGAGTATTACAATTGTCGTTATATTTCTTCTTGTGAGGCATGTTGGAGACTTTTTAGGTATGACATTCATTATAGATCATCACCTGTTGAAAGGTTGTCGTTTCACCTAAAATACAAACAACATGTGTTTAAACCATCCCAACATGTTACTAATGTTGTTTCTAAACCAACTATTGTTGCTTCTCAATTTTTGGCCTGGTTGGAATGTAATAGCTATGCCGAAAAGGCAAGGGAGTTATCCTATTTTGAATTCTCAACTCAATATGTTTGGAATAAATCAGATAAAGTATGGACAAAGAGAAAAACAAAGACAAAGTCACTTGGCAGAATTAATCACGTGTCTCCCAAGTCTGGTGATCTTTATTACTTGTGCATTTTACTCAACAAAGTAAAGGGTCCTACTTGCTATGAAGATATTAGAACGGTTAATGGGACCATTTGTGACTCTTACAAAGATGCTTACTACGCTCTTGGTCTATTAGACGATGATATAGAGTACATATCTTCTATACACGAAACATATTATTGGGTCATCGCTTCTTTCTGCAGATCTCTATTCGTTATGTTGATTACATCAGATAGTCTATCCCGACATCATCATGTTTTTAAAGAGACATAGAATTGTGTTTATGATGATGTCGTTCACGTTCGTGAACAAGAAATAGGCGTGAAAGGTACATTCACACAAAAAAGTTCTCCTTTTAATTGATATTATGAATAAAGTATTTCATTACTTTTTAATGTTTTCAGGCTTGAAGCTAAAACCAGAAGCAATTTACCACCTAACGTTGTCATACATTGACAAATCTTTATTGAGTTGTAGATTAAGTCTTAAGCAAATACCCAATATGCCATTACCTGGTCACAAATATATTCAAGATTCTTGCAATATGTTAATTCAAGATTAGCTTAATTATGATCCGTCCAGTCTTGAATCTGAACATAAACAACTGCATTTAAAATTAAATGTCGAGCAAAAAAATGTTTATGATATAATTATGATGCAGTTAACAACAAAAAGGTGGTGTTTTTTTCCTCTATGGTTATGGAGGAACGGGAAAAATATTTGTTTGGAAGACATTATCTGTTTCTATTAGATCTAAAGGTGAAGTAGTTATTAATATTGTTTTAAGCGGAATTGCAGCACTCTTGCTTTCTGGTGGTAGGATAGCGCATTCAAGATTTCGTATACTAATTAACTTGAATGTGAATTTGTTTTGTTCTATTACGCTAGGTAACGATGTAGGTAAAGTTGTATGTATACCTACGGATTGTACTGTATGTATTTTGAGATTTTCTAGTAGTGAGATGTTACCTTAGATCTAGTTCCTATCTAAGAATCTAGGAATAAGAAAATAGAAGGGAAGGGGGGTTAACCACTGAAGAGCATTATAACAATAGTGGAGTGATCATAAAACTTATAAGGACGTGATGTAATAGAGGATCAAGACTTAGTCATTGGAGCAAACCAGAAATCGATTTGATTCACCATCATCACAACATCCAAATACATCAATAGACATAGAATTTGTGATATGTGTTTCTTGTAATCCCGATGTTACGAGCCCTTTTCAAGCTTTAAAACCCATTCAACTCTATGCCACTCACTTATTTTCGTGATGTTCAATGTTAGGCAATTCATTAAGAGATTAGTTGCTCACCCACGTCATAACTTCTTGCATAATAGCATTATCTACTTCATTTGACATCCCAATTCGTGACCTATTTTTGTTACTACTTACAATCTCAATAAATAATCTAATCGTATTTATTTTTTATGGTCTCATCTAGTGTCTATAGAAGGTAAGAAATGATAATATTTTCAACAAGTGAAGCCCTTTCCTACCAAGGTTGCAGACAATGTTGTTTCCATGGTGTATGCTTGGTTCAAACATTAGGCAAAAACATGTAGCTAGATGTTCTTTCATTTCTTTGTGTATAAATTATAATCTTTTAACCTTGTAATTTTTGCCCACGTTTAGTTAGTTGCTAGACATGAGGCTTTTTTATAATATTTTGCTATTTCCAAAAATCAAAAACTGTGTGGAAAGAATTCGGTTAGTGTGATAGAAATAGAATTACCCATAAATGAAGTGATGAAGTTTAACACCCAGACAAAATCATTAAATACATTGACCAGTTAAGCAAACCGAGTAGGTTGAAAACCTGCACCAACTTCCACGTTACAACTTGCAAAATTCCAATTTTCCCACACATAAATCCACCTAGTCAACCCACTAAAAGTCGTCGACGATTAGTCAGAACAACAAGATTCCATAAGAATCGAACCAATTTAGCCCTTTTCATTCATTAATCATTCTTTAATCTCCTAAAAATCATGGAGTTTTTCAACAAAGCCAAAGTCGTCAGACTACGGAGCCACCTTAACAAATTCTTGGTCGCCGACGAAGATGAACACACCGTCCGGCAAAGCAGAAACGGATCTGCAAAGAAAGCACGATGGATGGTGGAGACGGTGGAAGGGAAAAACCATGTTATCCGCCTCAAAAGCTGCTCCTCCGGCAAGTACCTCACTCCCTCCAGCGAACTGTTTCTGACTGGTCTGACCGGAAAGAAGGTGGTGCAAGACATTCAGGCGAACAAACGCGACACCTCCATCGAATGGGAACCGATTAAGGAAGGCGAGTCGGTGAAGTTGAGGGCTAATAATGGAAAGCTCTTGCGGGGTAACGGCGGCACGCCGCCGTGGCGAAACTCCGTCACCCATGACCTCCCTCACCGGACAGCAACTCAGGACTGGGTTTTGTGGGATGTCGAAGTGGTTGATATCGCTGTTTTAGATTCACAAGAGTCGATGGCAAGTAATCTATCGCCGGCATCCAGCTTTTCGTCGGCGCCGGAGATATCGAAGGTTAGGGCGGATAGTCGCATGTCTGAGATTTCTTATAAAGGATCGCCACGTGTAAGCACAAGACAGGTAAAACACTTTTTTAGTTTTTACCCGCTTTACCCATTTTCAAATTAAAAAAAATTAAAATACCAGTCCAAATTACTGATTTACCCTTAACCACTAAACTTTTATTATCTATTGAATGTATATTTGTCTATCTAGAGCGGGATGGAGTTTTTTCATGGAGCTAAAGCAGTTAGATTACAAGGTTTTCATAACAAATATCTAGTGGCGGATGACGATGAAGAAACTATTCGACAAAGCCGTAACGCATCATCTGCAAAAGCTCGTTGGACTGTCGAGTTCGTGGAGAAAAACCCTAATGTCATTCGGTTAAAAAGTTGTCATGGCTTGTACCTTAGTGCAACAAATGAGGCGTTTCTGCTTGGTATGACTGGAAAAAAGGTAAAGCAGTGTCATTCTAAAGTACCGGATCATACAACAGAATGGGAGCCGATAAGGGAAAATGCGCTTCACATAAAGCTTCAAACATACGATGGGAAATTCTTGAGGGCAAATGGGGGAACTCCACCTTGGAGGAATTCGATAACACATGATGTACCTCATCGAACTGCTACGCAAGAATGGGTGTTGTGGGGAGTTGATGTTGTTGACATATCGTTGTCAGATACTGAGTCTGTAATGAGTTCATTATCAAGTTTTTCGTCAGTTGTTGACAGTTACACAGGATCACCAGATACCGGATCTCCGCAAATGAATTCGAATTCGCCAAAAAATAGGTCGCCGTTGGTTGTAGCCTCCTCCTTCAACAATAAACAACCAAAATCGGTAGGAAACATCTTATAACCCATAATTATATTACTTAGGTTTTTATTTTTCTTTTATTTTAAAAACTTATTAGTGACTTCTTTTGATCATTTTCATAAATTTTACTTACAAAAAATTATTTAAAAAGATACCTTTTAAATACTACCGACACATTTTTAAGTAAAGGTGATAAGATAAGGTTACGTTACTGCCATTGATACATTGTAGCCGGTGCTCTCATAGTCTCATTCCCTCTGGCTCACTTCCCAAGTTCATCTTCATCGATCCCTCTGTAAATTTGCATTTAAAGTTTCAATCTTGTGAAGCTAAACTTCAAACCCACATCTTAAAATCCAATCTTTCTTGTGATTCATTCAACTATATATCACTTTCTCCACTTCGTCAATCGGAAAATAACAGTGAATAACACAATGCAGAGTAGTGGAATGGAGCTCTTCCGAAAGGCGAAATCGGTCCGACTAAAGAGCCACCACGACAAGTATCTCTTGGCCGAGAGCGACGGCGAAAGTGTGCTACAAGATCGGAATGACACAGCGAAGAAAGGCATTTGGACGGTTGAATTTGTTGAAAACTTCGATAACGTCCTCCGATTGAAGTCCAGTTACGGGAAGTATCTCACCGCATCTGAAGATCAAGTAATCATCGGTTTCACTGGTCAGAAAGTCGTTCAAAGTATGCCGCAGAAGCTGGACTCCTCGATCGAATGGGAACCGATACGAGACGGGTTTCAAGTTCGTCTCAAAACCCGATATGGAAACTATCTACGAGCTAATGGTGGGTTGCCTCCATGGAGAAATTCAGTTACTCATGACATTCCTTACAGACATCACAATTGGATTTTGTGGGATGTTGAAACTGTTGAAGCTAGACCAGAGGAACAGGAACCACCGCCGTCGTCGCCACCATCCGAAACGGTAAACCCAGATCTAAATTCGTCCTCATTTTCTCTTAGAAGCTCCGGATCTGGCCTTACCGAGGTTCGTTCAAATAATCATTCATTACTACACATCTCAAGTTCGATGAATTTGCGATTTTGTCTCACTTGGTGTGATGCACACCATGTGTTTGTGGAAATGCAGGGACATGATCTACCGGCTGCAAAGAAGGAAGGGAGGATGGTGTATTACACGGTGGCGGATGATGATGGGAACGTTGATGAAGGTCATGAAGAAACATCGTTTTTATTCAAGGGAAATGGATTAGAGGATTTGACTCTGAATTTGGAAGAACAAACAGGGATAAATGATATAATCGTGTGCTTGAGGAATCCATTAAATGGCAAGCTTTTTCCTCTTCAGTTAGCGTTGCCACCCAACAACACCACCATGCACGTTGTGGTGGTTCCTCCGACTTCGAAAGGTTAGAACTTTCTGAAGTTGCTTATCATTGTATAACACACAATACCAAAGTTCCAAACACCCTTTATTGTAGTCTAATTTTGATAATTTAATGTGCATAAACACTTTTAAAAAGAGACATCTAAACACGCCTTGCTATTGGCTAATGCCAATATATGTGATTTTAATTTTGAGGTTTAAAAATCATATAGTATATGACTATTTCAAAGTCAAATAATCAAATATGAATCTTTTTGGAGTTTGTAAGGTTAAATTGACATGTTAATTCGTGATTAATGATTATGTTAAAAAAGTTTTGTAACTATTTGGCAAATAAAGTTTAAATGCAAAAAATAACAACTTATGTTCATTGATTTGTTTATTAATACACCGTTAATTTTCATTTCTTCCTATTTATATTTTAAAAGATCTAATATCATCCAAATATAAAATAATTCACTTTTATAGTTGTGTAGATTTCCCAAAATACATGTCCTCATAAGAAAAAAAAAAAAAAAAAAAAAAAAAAAAAGTCCCAAAATACATGCCCTCGTAAGAAAAAAAGAAAGTCCAAGTTATAATTAAGTAGATTTTCCAAAATACAATGAAAATTATTTTTCCAAGTGCAATAATATTCAACAAATATTATGTCTTCATATTTGTATTATATATTTATAACTTTCTATGGATATCATAACTCGGATTCGACGGGTTGACAAGTAGATGAATTAGGTAGAATTTTTTAAAGTACATGTCCTATGAAGAAAGAAAATGTTATCATTAGGTAGAGTTTTCAAAATACATCTTAAAAAATTATTGAAATTACAAGCTATAGTGGTAAGAAATGAAAGTACCATGGACATAAGATACAAATAAATGAAATGACATAAGATACAAATAAATGAAAGTGTGTTGCAACTTCTTTCATTTAGTACCCCAAAATATAGATCCATTTCTATAATGAAAAGTGTTGAAAAGTTGTGAACACTTGAGTATACATAGAGTTGGTTTTTTAGTCGGAAAGAACCGTCTAAATATGAGTAAATGACTATTTTACCTTTATGTTTAGACAATTCATTAAAAAGAAACATATTTTATGCATACATGAACACTTTTTTTCCATAGAACACTTGATGGGAAAAAATGTAACATACCACTAAGATACATGTTTGTTTTGTATTATTGATCAGTTGCAAGAGGATTTTAGCCAGTTTCAACATGGTGAGCAAATTTTGGTTTTGTGGGTACGGAGAAGATGAGAGTATATGAAGCGGATATTGTGGTTTTGATACAAGCTTTTCTTCATATGTATAGTAGTGAATTGTATTTAGCATTTTGTGGTAATTGATTTGATTTTTGAAGCATTTCATATTTATATTTTTTTCGAATAAAATATTTTTTTTGTTTGTGTTATTGATTACAATTTTTTGAAAGGCCTGGCTTGAGAATGATTTTCTTTGGAATCCAACTTGGATATATTTGTTAGGGTATCAAGGTAACGACAATTTCTTTGCTACTTTACTTCGGATATATTGTTATTTTATTTTCATGTTATTTTTAATATCTGAAAGATTTTATAAGCCACGCTAATAGGGAACTAGCGGGCAAAAAATAAACCAATTACAATTAATAAAAGAATTGAGTTTTGAAGCTGAGAGCAGTTTTTCTATTACTTTGAACAAACCAAAAGTAGGAAGCAAATAAAGTATACAATTGTGTTCAATTTCTGTTTGTTAACACGAAATTCCTGAATTGACACAACACTCATAAAGTAGTCATGCAATTAGCTTCAATCGGTGTCTGCTTCATGGATGAGACTTGCAAAGAGTCGCACAAATGCAAGATGTCTTCTTCAACAGAACTCCACGGTGGTTAAGGTAAATGCACCCATTTGAGAATCACATTTCAAGTTCTTGTTGCAACATTAAATTGGGTAAAAAGATGATCAAGACTCTCTTCAACCGAAGTACACACTAGACACAAGGTAGACGGAATATCAATACTACTTTTAGATAGGTGGAAGTCTAATTAATACGGCTCGCCAAAATAAGATATTAACTTTTCTAGACACACTTTGCTAATCAATAGGATTGTTCACCCCATCCAACGTGTACTCATTAACATGTTTCCACATGTTATTCACCACAAACTCGAGTCATCCACATCCCAAATCTGTCTATCATTTTCATATGAGATAATGAAATTATGAAGAATGTTTAACTAATCCTCAAATTGCTCCAATTTATACGGCGTCAATGCTAAAAGAGACTTTAACTAACCTATGGCTTTGTTATGTGCTATTCATGGTTGGTACCGTAGAAAATACTTTATTTGAAGATGGTGATGGGGCAAATACATTTTGTGCTTTTAACCCAACTCAAGCTGAAGAAACTTATTCAATGGTCACTGCTAATCGCTTTTGGTCCCAAATCTTTGGTGGGAGACCAAGAGATGCTTGGACGAAAGTCTGTTGGAGACAGAAACAACCCAATCGAATTGACTACAGCAGAAGATGGGAAGGTGATGACGTTTCGACGATGTTTGTCACAAACATTCCAGGCGGATCTTCAAAAGAGGAGATTGAAAGGATGTTTCAGAATCATGGTGATGTGAGAGATATATACATGGTGACCAAAAAAGATTCTAGCCATCGGAATTTCGCCTTCGTTAGATTTAGGGATATCGCAGATGAAAGTTGATTTGAAGAGTCCCTTAAAGGTTTAAGATTCAACAACAGAACCCTGATAATTAACAAAGCGAAGTTCGACAGGAGAGAAACCAAATCCATGGTCCTGAAACCAAAGGTATGTCATCCTCCTCCTCCTCCTAAACCTTCTTGGCATCATGGGGGTTTTCGTAACAAAAGAACATTTGCGGATTTGACGGATGGAAATGTTGGTTCGAAATGCCCAATGCACAAAATATCCCTAAACACTGAGGTCATGATGAAACAATGGAAGAATAGTGAGTTCTCTCTAATCGGGAAAGCACATACTGCAAAACACCTAACGTTATACCCTCTATTATTGACTTGGGGGACGATGGCTCTGGAAAGGTGACATACTTGGGGGGTTTAAACATGGGTCTAAGATTCAAGTGCCCGAAAGATGTTGACAAATTCCTAAAAGACCAAAGCTCATGGGGTGAATGGTTTGCATGGGTGGATTATGTTGTAAATGTTAGTGTTGAATTTGAAAGGATAATATGGGTCAAAATTGTAGGTTTACCAATTGATCTATGGGATGAGAGTAACTTAACTAACATCGCCAGTCAATTTAGGGAGGTGGTTATCCCATTCGCGTTCTTTGTTGCATTTAGGGACTTCTCAATGGCGAAAGTATGCATTATGACAAAATCCTTGAAGAAAGTTAATGAAGAAATTACTATCCCGGTTGGCGAACGTATGGTTAAAGTTGAGATCATTGAAATGGATGAAATATGGAGCCCCTTCAAGAAGCAACCGTCGAAGGACAATTGGTTGGACGACCTACCTGAATCCGACGAGGAAGAAAACCTGCGTATTTCTTGTTGGGTTTTGAGCATTCTAATACTCCTAAGTGTACATGCAACCCTAAATACTTTGGATCTATGTTTTCTCTATTATACATGCAAATATGAATATTCCAAGGTATTATCCTAACTAGAATACAAAACATTGATTCATGAGGAATAATACAAGTTAGAAGACATACCTTTTGGTGTAGCTTGATTCCATAGAGCTTAAGAGCCTAGTGCCTCAAGTGTGACACCTCAAATGGTTCACACAACATCAAATACACTTAGAATAACTCGAGAGAAATGAGACAGTTTATGAAATCAGCTAGCCCTCACCATTCCTCATAGTAGCTGATTTTTAGGAAGAATAAAATGTTTATATAGTGTGTCACAATTAGAGTTATACCATGTAAACCCTAATTATCATGGATTTTCATTTAGTAATAAGATGTTTATATAGTGGACCAATCAAAATTAAAAAAATAAATAAATAATCAAACAAATAAATAAGTGTAATTTAGTAATTTGATAAATAATTTCTACAAATACACTTATATATATATATATATATATATATATATATATATATATATATATATATATATATATATATATATATATATAGAGAGAGAGAGAGAGAGAGAGAGAGGAATGATCATTTGAGAAATCAATGTTTCCCGAGAACCCGAGAACTAAAGGTGGAGCGTTAAATCAAAATCTTCAATGGCTAAGATTGATAATGACATAATTGTAATTATCAATTGTTTCGATGGTATCTTAGACATTTTATAAATATTTACAAAGGAAAATTAGGAATTAAAAATATCAATCATAATAATCAATTTAACAAACTAAAAAAAACTCACATACACAAACACGTGTTTCTCACTTTCTCTCTCATCTCTCATGTTTCTTCACGACTCCATCATCTGCCTCCTTCCGATGAATATCTCTTCATGCGATCTTTCTGCCATTGATTTCCGCAGCCGATACCGCCACATTGAGGATCAAATTCGATGCACAGACTAAGGATCGACGATCCACTCCATCTACCACCTTCCTCCTCCTTTCATCCTCCATCTCTACCTGTTCTGACAAACAACAACGACTACCAATCCACGGTCCTCGTCTGACATATCAACGACATCAAATCCACGATCCAAGAGATCCACTTCATTCATTTTTATGTTCGATTGCAACAATAAACCGTCGAATCGCATTTGAGAATCACCTCTATCTGGCGAGGATCTTATACCGTCAATGCCTTCTTTTCCAATTGCACCTCCGACCGTGTCACACCCCGAACCAGACAACGGAAACGTCCGAGGGCTCGCGTGACTTAAATTGAATATCATCACAATGAATATACATGAATCATAACATAAACATCACCATGCACCAATATATTACAACTGGAATTGTTCACATCAAGTACATTGTTTTAACATTACAAATCCATACATAAATTGTTTAATAGTTTTCATAAGCAAAACACCCTAACATACTTGGTACTTATTCCTCGGCTTACCTGATACCTGAGAATACAAGTTATTTTGAAAAACGGTCAACATATGGAATGTTGGTGAGTTCATAAGTATGTTGTGATAAAATGAGTTGTGTAGTTTGTAATACCCTGAAAATCCGATATTTTCTGAAAAGGTCATTGTTTATAAAAAGGTGTGAAGATTCGTACAATATGCATGATGATTTCAAAAAGACATGTATAATTGAAGGACTTAGTATTAAACGTACAAGTGAAAATGTTAAACTTCCCCGAAAACCCGATGTTTTCCAAATATATAAAATACAGTGATTTCTCAAATTGTTATACCGCCACAATGAATGATTTTGATTACTCTTCCGTGATTACTGTGACAACCCGAAATTTTCATTCGGTCAAACCCTAAAAGTCAATCACTTCATATTATAAGTCAATTTCATTTCTATTTGTTTTTAACAAATTTAAAGTTCGTTTGACTATTATAATAATTATTCTTTAAACGAACGGGTGAAAGGATGTGCCGTCTCGAGTCTTGAAATTTCAAAACCGCGAATACCACGTAGCTTAGAAGTTCACGGCCAAACTTTTATGTTTGGGCCTTAAATTACCCCAAAAACCGTAAACTCATGCTTAAGCATGAGTTTACTCCCCAAAACACTTCACTTCTCATTTCCACCCTCAAGAGTAAACTCCAAACTCTCTCAAGTATCATCCCGGTTTTCGCCCGATTTTCCGAAAATGTAAGTATTTCTCAACTTGATTAGTTGATATAACATAACAACTAGTGATTACACATCTTTTCATCCATCCATTTTTGTGTTTTGATTAGATTTCCAAAACACCAAGATCACCAAGAACACACACTAGTGTTCTTGGGCCCTTAGCACATTTTCAAGCTTCTAACTAGTAAGTACTCCAACCCTAGTGTATTGAACAGCTTATTACCTTATCATACACCAAGAAAATGTCCCAAGAACACCAAGAGTAAGGTGTTTACGGCCCAAGAAGTTCTTGGACAGTGAACACCAATTAAAGGTGCCAAAGTGTGCTTTAAATTCTTCCTAAGCCTTGGACATTAGCCTAGATTCATTCCTAGTTAAGTTAGGGACTAGAAAACATCAAAATACCATAACCCTAAAGGGTTTATGACAGTAAACCCAAAAGAATATGGTCTTAGGGCCGTGAACTCTCCAAAAGGGGGGAATTGTGCCCTAATCTCTTCTAAAGGCTTAGCCATCAATTAGAAATGCCTCTTAGGGTCTTGTAAAGCCTTAAAACATCAAATGGTCATGCAGTTATGAGCTTACGGTCGTAAACCCATGAGTTTACGACCGTAAACTCATTTGTTGAGGACCTTAGGGCCGTGAACTCCCTTTGGGAGTTTTCCTTGAACCCTACACCCACTAGCCATACTCTACAACACCAGGATGCAACCCTTGTGATCTTTAACACTTGAAACAAAGTGTTACCATGTTCTAGAGTGTCTTAACTTAAATTATTAGAGATAAAGTGCCTAATTAGTTATTTATATATTGATTATATGATAAGTAGGTGTAACATACACGTTTTGAAATCGTGTTTTGTAATGAATAAAAATTGTGAAATACTATGTGAAATTGAGTGTTGAGTTCTAACAGATGGTTTTTACTAGAAATGAAGTAAAACTATGTTTAGACTCACTCAGAAAATATTTGAAGTCTTATGAGATTCCAATTAAAAGCCAAATAGTGAAATTTAGCGAAAATATAAAATTTTAAATAAGTAAAATTTTATTATTTGATGTTGTTGACAATCTCATTAGAAACTTGTAGGCGAAAACCTCGTCGAAATCCGAGTTATAACGAAGAAGTTATGACCAACCGAAGATCGGCGAAAAAACCAGCACGGCGCCGAATGACATAAAAAATGAGTTTTTGATAAACTACTTTTTAGCCTTAGTAATCTAAATGAAAGTCGTAGTATTTGTTAAACTGAGAAATTCGATAAAAAGAACGCTAAAATATGACTTCGTATGAGGAAGTTATGATTTTTTGAAGTTTCAACTTAGCAGTAGACAGCTAAAAACTCGAATTTTAGATCGAGCAATATTTGACCGATACATCCTAAACGAGAATCGAAGGTCTCGTCATTTGTAGTACAACGGTAAAAAGTCTGACGAAAACGGATGTCGGATAAAGAAGTTATGAATTTTTAACGGATTTTCTTGTCCCGGTCTGTTAAAAATAATAATATTAAAAATAAAGTCAAAATTAGCCGACGAAGTGTAAACGAAAGTTGTAGATTGTAATTTTAGCTACGCGTGCATATAAATAACGTCAAAAACGGAGCTCGTATATGAAAGTTATGGATTTTAGAAGTTTAGGGCCCGAAAACCAAGAAATCTCGCATGAATAGTACCGGCCACATCACCTCGCACGAAGCAGGTGCGTCACCGGAGACGTGGCCCAGCCTGAGAAGCGACGCATGTACCAATCCAAAGCAGCCACGAGCCCTTGACGCGCCCTTCACATCGCTTCCACATCCGAGCCTCGTGGCCTTCGCTTCTCGCGCCACCTGCCCTTCGTTGCTGATGCCACCGAGCAGCTTCGTCACCCTCCTCCGGACCGAGCCTCGCAGGCGCGACGTGGACACCTCCCAGCCACTAATTCTGAACCCTCTCACCCTATATAAAGGGAGGCTACGAGCCTTCCCGGGTAACTTTGA